CGCCTTTCTCGCGTGGGATGATTTTCACGTGCGCTCGCGTTTCGCTTGCTCTACTATCCCTGAGGGAAAATGGGGACAACTCTTGTTCCCGCAACTAACAAATATCCACCAAAACCAAAGTAGGAACAATTCTTGACTGTATTAGTTTCCAAATCAGCTTTACAATCGTATACAGGCGACCATCCAAAATTGTACGAGCGAACAAAAACTAAAGACAAAACCATGTACTCACATCCGGGTTTTTACACTTAATCATTTTATTTAAGCGTCACTAAAATTGAAAAAAATTGAATAAACAGTGTCACATCCATTTCCGGCTGTAACAACTCTATTGGTTAGAGTTTTCATCCACAGGTGTTCTGCGATAGTTATAAAGATTGCTACAAGAGAGGATGCCGTTACATTATTCTCTTGACTCTTGATTCCTATCTTTCACTTTTAGGCCCAGGCATTTTTGGTGCATTATTATTACAACTGAAGCTTTGCGCCCTGCTATCAAACAGCCACTGAGTCACAAACACGGTTTTCCTTTTCTTTGAATTTATTTCCCTTTATGCATAGAATAGGAAATAATTACTAAGCAGAAGAAATAATTCAGTTATGGTTGTTAAGTCAGAACTTTGATTAGATGAGGTCTTTATGAGGCCCACTCTGAATACAAGTGAGAATAGTTAGAGTACTCATTTATGAACATAGCGGTCACTGATGCATATCAACGACTCGATTTACCCCAGCCCTGCTCGGCCTTCTTGTCATGCAATGCAATTTGCCTTTTTAACCTTACACAAGATCGCCATGTTGGATTGAAGAATTTGAATCCCTGTTCTGTTAAGAGTACCGCTTTTTGCCTGAAATGTCTAAGCATGAGTATAGGCGTTTGCTCCTTGACATCAACAAGAAAATAAATGCAAATGAACTAAGAGAAATGGTCTACTTGTGCATCGACGACTTACCGAAGGGCACCAAGCGGGACAGTTTTGAAGATGCACTCGCGTTGTTCGACTTACTTGAAACGAAGAATCGTCTAGGAATTGACAACACTCAAATTCTGAAAGGAATGTTGCAAAATTTACCGAAGAAAGCGTTGCTCAGGAAGGTGGAGGACTTTGAAATTAAAAGGAAAGGTAAGAATTGGTTTGATTTAGACGCAGTAAGCAGTTCAGGTAGACAAGTTATTAAAAGCGGAAGTTCTCCAAGGACTTCTTGTTCTAATGGTTAAACAGTACAGGACGGAGCAGAATGTGGTCAGACTTTTCTTTTTTTTTGCCACATGCATCCCGCAATAAAATAGCTTTACCTGCAAGCCAGGTGAATTTATAACGTTATGCCGTTACCGTTATATCATTGTAAGATTTCTCTGGAAATATTATGAAAATCTAGTCTTTATAGCGGAGCTCCACCCGCGCGCGAAGCGCGCGCGTGGGCGGAGCCCCATAGCTAAGGAAATGTGGTAATCTACCCGTCCCAGAAAATTTGGTAATCACGTGACCGTACACCGAACGAGCGAGCGACCGTCCGTCCGCACCACAGGCATACCAATGTAAAATAACTCAATCAACAGGTATGGGAACCAAATGCAACTCAAGAATTTATTTGGAAGGAAATCACATGGCCGCCCGGACTTTTAGAAAGAAAAAAGTCGTGTCTTTTTCGGCGTTATTTTTTATGTGTACACTAACGTGGATAACAGAGAAAGAGCTAGAGCGAGTTATTGAAAATTCGTAGGAAGAAAAACATGAAAATTCAAAGCGGCGGTGAGAAAATGAGAAATGCTAGCGGCCAGCAAGGTGAAAATGAGCGACAGTGAAAAATAAAAGCGAAAATGAACACTGGAAACAAAATATTGGGTAAGCACATACGACAATTCTCCATAAAAATAGTGTGTAACTAGGAAGTTTGACGTTTTAGTCGTACAAAACAGCGTTGTAGTCGTGCAAAACAACGGCAAGGGAAAGACAAAAAAGCGTGCTGCACGTGCAAATTTGTTTTTTGCTAATTAGAAGAAAAAGTGTGCTGCACGTGCAATTTGTTTTTTTGCTAATTAGATCTATTAGTCTTGAAGCCATTTTCATTGTCGTCCCCCGTTTAGCATAACAAGATCTAATTTTTTTTAGTTTACACGTATTATTAACCAGAGCTTCGCTTTTAGCCTTGGCTAAATCTATATATTATTGTGCGGCTCGTGATCATAAGTTGGCACTGGATGCATTTATACCGGCCGTACATATCTAAAGCGTAATATCATATCAGGTTTTTCGACCATGTCTTAACTGCGCCCGTTTAAAGTGAACTAGCTTTACATTTGTCGTTGATTTCAATTGATGCTAAACTCTACTAATTTCAGCTCAATCATTCGGTATCATTTCTTCATTGAAGCGTGCTGCAGGAACCTTAAGTGGAGGTAGGTCAGACAAGGTTGTTTATGTAAATGTACCTACTATATTTGAACTCGCTTATAGTGACTGCTGCTGGAGCTTTGCCGTTCTGTAGTTGAAAAATGGCACCCGTATAACCATGGGAACGTAAAGGCCCATTTTTATCAGATTTTTGAAAGACCACGAACTATGCCTCGGTTTCTTTTTCAATATAAGATTCCATACTTATACGGTTGCGGCCAAATTTTTGAACGGACAAAAACTTGAACTGACTCGCCTTTCGTTTACACAGGATCCGGCAATTCATGCAAGTTTTTGAAAGGTAAACAGTACTGCAGTCTGTAACAGAATTTGCATGGTTCTGTGTTAACGGGTTGCTCAGGTAGAAAAATTCACTGAAAAATTTGCCCGTAATCCGTATAAACGGGGTCTAAGAGGGTGTCCCGATCAGGATTTGTGCTTCAAATTACTTCGGAGGAACCGCTAAATTCCAGCGCAATGCTGCATGTAAAAAGTTGTAACGTAGAGCACAATTCTAAAAGCGTCTTTTGCTATTTTGTAATTGCAGTAAACAGTAACCAGAGTGCAAAATGTAATAGAAAAGATCTTTATGCTATCCTTAGTTATTGAAGCCTTTAAAAAGTCGGTTTTTGTCCTCTGTACACCTTTTGGAAATCGTCTGATCGTTGTTTGTATTCAATGACTAGGCTTTAGGGGCCGACCATTAAACTCTTGAGTGGGGGGGGGGGGGGGGGTTTTT